CGATAAGGATTGCATGCAGCTATGATCTGTAAACCTGAGCCGGGCAGTAAAGGCTGTCCTTCTATTGTGTGGTCACATAACACTTCCTTGATGCAGCTGACAGCTTCTGTGGTGTTGGCTTCATCAAAAAATAAAATGGTGTCAAACTGATAATTCGACTTATTGTATCCTGCCATATCTTCAGCTTCCCTCACTTTAGCATAGATCGCATCTGCTGTGGTACCTCCATGAACTTTGACAAGCTTCATATTATCAGCATTGACACCAATCTTACGCAGTTCACACAGGTATTTTATAAGCCTGGTTTTTCCACAGCCAGTTTCTCCCATCAGGACAACAGGAATTCCACACCTAAATCTCATTTCAATGGCCAGCATTTTTAGTATATTGTCTGTTGTAAGTTCATAAGTTTCATCAGGATCGGTTGGCTCCTCGATCCCCAAGACCATGCAAAGTTTCTCAATTTTCTGAGTTCTGGTCAATGCATCAAAATTAATATTGAATGGAACTTTTTGAAGAACTAATCCCATGTACAGCTCAGGGGTCATGACATTTCTCTTGATAATATTGCCATTCAAAGGATTGATGGCATCAATGCTGCCATTGATACTGAGCTGGAGATGAAAGCCAATGAAAGTCATAGATGTACGGTCCGCATTGAAGAATATATATGGATGGGGTTCAGATTCCCACTTTTTCCGAAGCAAAAATGGAGCAAGAGCTTCCTCGGTAACCTCTCCGAAATTTTGCATTCCAGGGCTTTCATCAGAAATGTTAAGTGAAGGAGTTGCAAAATCCTTTGCCATTAAAATCATAAATTTGACCACAAAATTTTTAAAGCCCTGCAAAGTGTCCTGGACAAATTCAGCCTTACAGAAAACAGAGGTTTCACAATTTCTCAGCTGAAGGTTAAGAAACCAAGCAAAGTTTCTAAGTTCTGACCAAGAAGGATCAATCACTCCACAGTAGATCAAGAACAGCTGTAGGCATTCTCCTGGCGTCCCTTCCACTGAGCCTTTTCTATACTGGAACACTTCAAGATTTTCACCTCTGTTTTCTCTTATCAAATACTGGAATGGTCTCTGAAAAGCTTCACTGCGGAACATTTTTTTATCTACTCCAGGATCACTGCTGTCATGAAATAAATTCTGAATACTGTTGTCCAGTACTTCTTTAGGAGATCTGCAAATTACTTTGGGGAATACATCAAGGAAACTATAGTTCAACCCTGGAGATTTCTGAAAAAAGACCAGAAAAGGAAGGAGTTATAATACAATCAAAAGGTTTTTTGAATTTATTCTCCCTATTTCACAAGCTCCATCAGTTTTCCACAGTATTTTCATTTTGTACTATGGAAATAGTTTGTCAATACTGCAGAACTGTAATTACTACAAACAGAATTACTTCTTTGCTACAAGAGATTATGGGAAAATCTCTCTAAAGGTCCCTTGCAGACAGTTTCACTTTAATCCCATGTAGGGAGATGTTTTTCCCTCTGTGCCTTATAGTTTTTTTTCCCCTTAAGACATTCCGTAGGCACAACTAAGGGGAAATCCCTATTTTCCCCATTGTCTTACAGAAACCACAGTTTTAAAATCCTGCTCTAAAATACTAAAAACACAGCATATATATATTCTATGCCTCTGGATGTACTTACAGATCCTCTTTGTTTTTTGGGTGAGGGGGACGGTTGCAGAATTTCTGCAACATAGAGGTGGCACTGTTTCCGGAGCCAAATTTTCCCATCTGTATCTTCCAGATACCGTAAGATGAAGAGCTTGAACAAAAATTCTGAAATTCCAGTCTGAACCTGGAAGAATACAGAAACATAAGGACCATACAAATAAACAGGGATGTTCCTCCTCTAGATATAAGAATATCTTCTCACAAAAGGATGTATTGGATGAAAAGGAAAATCTCGTCAATCAAAACTGTGACATACTCACAGAAGAAGTAATATCAAAATGCAGAATCATAGGCCGTTTCTGGGACTTTTGGTCCAGGAGTAGAAACAAAGAGTTCAGGATTTTTCTTTCATTCACATGAGGATCAATGAGCCGAATGGTTCTTAAAAGAATTCTGTGTCCTTGCAGTTGCGCTTTCATTTTTTGATGCAGCCTCTTTATATAGAGAGATTTTCCTATAGTTTTTAACAAAAAATGTGCAAAGGCTTTAAAACATACCCTTACAAAGAAAGTGCTTTCTCAATAGCCAAAATTTGAAGCCCACAAACATTTACTTCCTCCGCTTCTACTGCTCAGTCCTTTGGATTTAGGCAGTTATAATAAATTCAGATAAATAAAGAAATAATATAAATAAGTTCTAAGCTACGTCACTTTTATATATTCCTTTTTTCCTCTAGTTCTCCAGTGTAGTAGGCAAGAAGTTTAGAACTATTCACATTACATGTTAATTAAAATGACAATTCCAATTAACTATAGCACTACTTAACCATAAACTGCTACTTTTAACATAATAGTACATGGTTTGAAACAGATTCCTTATAAACAAGCCCGATTAATAATATTAATTATTAACTACTACGCTAATATAGATCATTTTCTTGCTAAACTATGATTTTATATCCAAAATCGGAGGTTGCTTGAACTTGGTTTTCTCACCCATTCCAGCTCTTTCAGAAGATACAATCCCAACACACATGTTATTCTTGAATATGGAAGTTGATGGATTTCCAAGCTCAGTGGTTTTGTAATGCTTCCCAAGGTAACTTTGGATGTCTTTTGGGGGTCGAAGAGGGGTCATGTGAATGATGAAATTACTAAAAACAGAGGGGATATAGCGGTCTTCTCTCTCACAGTTGCAGAACATCACTAATTGATAGTCACTGGTATGTTTTAAATGTAGTTTTTGGTATAGTTCCTCTAACTTATAGCCAACATCGTAACTCAACTCATCTGCAAAGAGTAAGCTATAAATCTTCTTTTCTTTCTTGTTTGGAGTAAGGCATCGCCTCATAAACAATTCCACTTGCTCGAAGCTGGTTTGTGGTGTACACAATAAGACTTCATCATAAGAGGGTAGCGTCTCTTCTGGATTGTTCATATAGATGGAAATTGTAGAAACCAAAATTTCAGAGCGACGGCAAAGGATGAGGTTGGGCTGCCTAGAATGAAGACCTTGTGGTAATATTCGTTCAACATTCCTTCTCTCTAAATCTGCCAAAGTAGATAGGAATCTACCAAGAGTTTCAAAATCAAAGCAGTGTGGAAGAAATAAACCCATGTTCTCCATGTAGGACCCCCAGATTTCCTCCAGGTGTTCAGTCACCTCTCTTCTACTTGCCTGGTGTCCATATGTTACATCAAAACTCTTTGGTATTTCAGATACCACTAGTTTGGAGACTTCTTCAATATCTTGTCTACTGCAGTTGTGTTTTATGAAAGACAGCATCATTAAGGCAGACTCACTGGGTTTCCCCGAACCAAGCTCCTTGCATAAATATACAAGCTGTTCAGCCATGTAATAATTCAGATAAAAATACTGGGATCGCTTCTCAGACATGAATTGATTCCACCTCTCCAGAAAACTCTCCATCTTCCTGCACATGGCTGGCAGAACCTTTGCCACATCTCCACTTCCACAAAGGCCACAGATGGAATTTAAATTAAAGTTCATATTAATGCAAAACAGACTCTTAGGTGAGCAATGTACGTTAGCAATCCAGTTTCGGAAAAGCATGTTTCCAGCAGAATAAAGGTTCATGAAGGACAATGCGAATCTCCGAATGTTAGAAAATACCTGAGTGAAGAATACACACAAAAACACAACAGTAGATTGAATCCAAATCATTATTAAACTATATATATATATATATATATTTGTTTTCTGAGGTTTTCACGGGTGTTTATATGTGAGTCTTTGGTCATTCGGGTTTTCTCCCGTGTAAGATTAGAAGTGTCATAGCGACGTTTCGATGAAATCACATTCATCATCATCAGGCTTGTGCTTTTAGCTTTGTGCTTCTCAGAGTAATATGAAATATCTGCTGTTTCTTTCTTTTAACTGCCAGTGGGGTTTGAACTGAAGGGGCGGGGACTTGGTCGTGTTCTGAATGGGTGGGCGTGTGCTCCGATCGGTTAAGGAACTTGGCTGCACTCTGATAGGATGGGGGGTTAGCTGTGCTCTGATAGACTGGGGGAGTGTTCTGTTTGGGAGGGGGGTTTGTTGGGGTTAGATTGGT